TAATATTACCTTTTGTCAACTTAGAAACTGTGCCAGTAACCTGAATTCAGATCTATTTGAATCTCACCTAAATGATACCCCTGCCTGCTTATGTAGTTCTCCTGTTGAGGATTGTGATCACTTCTTCTTCCATTGTACTCTGTATATTGATCAAAGGCAAATTCTCCTGAACTCCATTCCTGCTCTTAATGACATTATTTCATTAAATACTCAGACTTTTCTTTATGGATGTCGAAGACTCGATATCAATATGAATATAAGTATCTTGGAGATGGTTCAGAGATTCGTTAGAGATACAAGACGCTTTTACTAGATGACACTTACTTGTTTATCTTTTCACAAGACTTTGCTGTATGGAATGATACCAGTACATAATTGTACTATGTGCTGTCCACCAGCATAATTTTAATTGCCATTTTTTTTGTAAAATCTAGTTTTTGTACAAACATTATCAAACAAATTAATAATGACATGTAAATATCAAAATTCATGTACATAATATACATGTTTTATCATTACTTCAATTCAATATGATGTGTGTAAACTGTTTATAACTGTAAGGAGAGGGCTCACACAGGCTTTGCCTGTTGCCCAATTCCTTTGTATCTAAGACCTGAACAATAAATATTCTGAAATGAAAACATATCTATGACGTTATTGGCTGGGGTTATGGCATACAGGATTAATTTGTTTAAATTAATAGTAATATATCGGTACCTGTCTGAAACCATCTCCCTAAAAGTATGCCCAATCTCAAATAATCTGTTTAAAAAATTGCTTTTAAAAAGCGTACCTTTTTATGTAGATGCCTTTCCAATTCCAATAATATAATAATGTACATGTAAGTAAAACTGATACTTCCAATAATGATATGAATTTAATTATGTTGAATTCTATTACTATTGCAACATAAAACATAAATAATCCAAACGCTATCGTTAATGAGCCATGCAAATAAACATCTAGCTAGTTGACAAGATCAGCATCCGTTTGTGTGTACTACGGAACATCATCTTATTGTACCTCTGTGTACAGTAGAACACCTCTGTGTACAGTAGAACACCTCTGTGTACAGTAGAACTCTAGAAGGACGTACAATGTACTAGTTTGATTCTGCACGATGTAGTAACGTCAGTGTGGACACGTAGGATTCTGTGTTCTATGGGACCTCGTTGTTGTAAACACATGGTCTTTATGAAGAGTCGAACTTGATACGTCAGAATACTGTATACCGGGAAATTTTCGCCGCAGTTTAATTTTGCCTTTTTCGCCCTCCGTAATTAGGGCGACTTTATCAGAAAGGGAAAATAGGTACATATCATACTGAACATTGTAATGACATGTAACGGACGAAAATAACACTGCGCGGAAAGGGATTCTCCTAGTGAAGGGCGCGATTTAGACTGGGCGAAAGTTTCCCGGTTTACAGTAATATCTGACCTACATATACAATTGTACAATAGAACCTCATTAGAATGATAATGTCAACCCCTGTGTACAGTTGAACCCTATTCGTAAGAAGGATACTGACTTTGACCTCCGTATTCAGTTGAACTGCATTCCACATACTATTTTGACTTACATGTACATGTACAATTTAACCTCATCAGACAAGATAGTTTAGTGGTGTGTACAATAGATTGGCGTAAGTGTGGTTTCTTTAAATCTCTGTATATGGTGGAACTTCATGTCTTGACACATTGAATAACCTTTATAATACAATTTCGTTTTTCTAGATAAATTTAGATTACCTTATTGGTCTGGACACGTTTGTTCGTGTGTGGTATGGATTTGTCTGGTTACTACCATATATTTGTACGATGGAATTTGACTAGATTGAGAACTTTGGCTCTATGTGCAATAGTATTTCGTTACTCTGGACACCGTCGATCTCGAACGTTGGAAAAGCTACACGTAGCTATCCCTATTATATCAATATTTCTCCCTCATATTCCCTGACCTCTACACTGTTTCCCGCTCGGACAAGTTCCGTCCAGAGACTTGGAATGAGGACTCCCGTGGGTCCTCCCTGTGCACCAATTCACCTTCCCTAGCTATTGGAACAAGAGTACAACAGAGTCATGATGCTGCTACCAAATGTAACTTGCACGCACGCACGCACCCATCCGTCCACTAAGCACGCACGCACGCACGCACGCACCCATCCGTCCACTGAGCACGCACGACGTTGCTGAAAAACTGACGAGCCCGTTCCATAGTTATTGCATCTCCAGAAAAGATGGCTGGTCAGTGAGGCAGTGTTTCCACCTCATATTCTTTGGCTATTACACCTCCACGGCTGAATATCCAATATTGCCATTTAAGAAGTCTTTTAAGAAACAAAAAAATAATAATAATATAAGAAATGCAGTTCGCTTAGCAGTTGATTTGAAAGATTTCTTCAAAGTGTTTTAGGACTCATGGAGAAAACTCCTGAAACAGAACATGAACACGTGTAACATAACAATTTTATTCTTCAATCTAACCCTGACAACCAAACAGTCTTTCGCAGTTGAAATGTTTGACTGCCAATGTAATTTTCCTAGGCAATGTTGACTTCCGGTTATCTTTGCTGGATTTGGGGATGCTGTATACCGCGGAGTTATCGCTGCTGTGCAGGGCGGAAGATCAGTGCAGGATGCAGGTTGCAAACCTGATCCGGGCAGTTCCGTTTTCATTCTCTGACATAGACGCGGGGTCCCAATATAAACTCTCTCGGATATACGACAAGTGACGAAACTAGAGCAAGACGATGTACCTGAAGTAGTGAAAAAAATCGCTACTGCCAGGTGAAAATTTGAGGTAATATTTTGATTTAAAAAAAAAGTCTCTGATGTCGCATTTTTATCAATGTACATACATTAACTTGAAACGTAACAGATCTGATACGATCGTCTACTCCCTCCTCATCAACGACCTTTCCTACTTCGTCAATCGATAAAAAGTTAAGAATGTGGTATCTTGGCACCCTGTCTAAAACCGTCTCTATAAGCGCTGGGTGAATTCTTGTAGGGATTTCCGAACCTGCGTTGTAAACAGTATGGTCTTCGGGGCAAAGTCTTAGAAAAAGGAGTGAGGAACGTAGTGAAACAGGAAGGATTGGCCGAGAGGTTAACACTTCGGCCTTCCACGCAGGCGGCCGGGGTTCGATCCCCGAAGTCGTCGTAAGCATGGAATATCAGAGAAAGTGTTTTTCTCCTGCCCACACAACTCCAACAACTCAGGTGGAGTATAAAATGGTCTGTGTGGATGTTGCGGTATCTGTGATGTAGCATTCAAGTGAGGTGGCACTATAAAAGATGCCGTTGGAAGCACGGTCCCACTATAAACAGAACACAATACAGTTCAGGCACACACGCAGGCATGCACAGGCGTACTGTAAAGCGCTTTAGAGTGGCGTATGCTAGCTAGATAGGGCGCTATATCAAATGTTGTATATTATTATTATAATTATAAACAAATCATTTTATTATAGGAATATTGCATTGTCATTGAATGCATGACGTTAAAACCTTCATGAAACAAACCACCTTGTGCTAAAAGTTGTAAGGTAGAAAGTGTGATGGATACCTCGACTACCTACTTACTGTGACATCGCGTGCAGCTGCTGCATCCAAACATTAGCCATGTCTATAAACGATTGCCTTTGACAAAAAATATAAAAGTACATCATTTAGTTTGCTTGCTGTTCTGTCAATTTAGCGAGTCTCCAACACGTACTGTTAAGCTGATATTTTACTTGCCCACATAAATACATTGTTTTTGTTCAGCTACTGTTTATTTGTAGGTTTTAATCAGATGCTGCCTTTTATGATGAATTTCAATTAATGTTTATGTATATCGTACTTCCGTTACTTTAACGTCAATCTAACTATGCGCCGTTTAACGACTGTCCAGATGTTCCTTATGTCGTTATAACGCACACATTTCACTTTTGTTGACAATGAGTGTTATCTGAACTAACTTGTCCGAGTTCTTTGTGGTCGTAAGTGTTGCTTAGTCAAACGTGATACATTCTAAAACATATGATATTTTAAAAACACAGTAGCCCAACTAGATAAATGTCTGTTGTTAAACAAAAATGGAATCTAGTATCAATGCATATATAAAACGCCCGTACGGCTAGATCGGAAATTACCATTTGTAATTATTTTGTAGAACGTTCGTCCTGTGTTCATAAACACCAATCTCCATGTCTTTGGACGGTTTGTCTCGTTCAACCAGACGCTTGATTTCTTCTGTTCGGTGCAGCTTGCGCAGACATGAGTCAGATTGAACGAGGCTATTACTAGGTATGCACTGCCCGGAGAGTTGACTTCCGGTTTAACATTTCTCGAAGACATATCGGCTCTTACATTAACCGTGACTTCAATGAAAAGAAGAACTGACTTTTTTTTACCACTGCACAATGAAGATCTATCTCGTAGAGAAGAATTTGACAGTGTACGCTTTAGGAGATATCCAACAAGAAACATCTTACCATAAATATTTCTAAATGGCAACATCTAATGAGACAATTATAACGAGAAATATTGGATAAGAGAGATATTAAACGGAAAAATATAAAACGATAGGAATAACAAATGGAACGATTCCGGCCACGGAGATTTTCAACGTGAGAAACCATGACAGATATAATGAGAATTACCCAACAAGAGAGATATCCAATAAAAATATATAGAGACTATTTCGTACTGCTCTAGGCACACGTTGTTTTTACTATTGAACGAAATGGCTGTCGTGTATGTGGGGTAGTTGTGTTTGGCCAAAGTTGGACACTGTTTCAGTGATGCAGGTATTGTTTAAACAATGGCATTGTCTGAAAATCCAATGACCTTTTCTTTATCATGTTCATCAATCATTTTTCTCACCTGGTTTACCTTGGTACAGCTGTACCTCGTGACTAATCCATGTGACACCTGGAAACTGAGGTAGCTCCGAACAAATGAAATCACAGCTACAGTGCAAATGATAAAAACAAAACCAATATTTGATAACAATATTTTTTAATAACATCAATAACACATTTATAAAAGTAATTAATTAACATCTCATAGACAATGACGTCATTTCTGATTTATTGACTGAAACATTTTTTTTATATTATTGTAGTCATCACTGTTTTGTAATGGCTGCCGGACAGACAAAAGTTATAAAAACATAATCAAAATCTTAATTTGTAGTTTTGTGATATTTATTTAAATTTTAGCATGAATATCATGAATTTTACCTTGTCGATATCAATAATACAAAATGCTTTATTTCCCAACGTAATGAATGACCATTAAACAGCTAAATTAAATACTTTTAACATCCCTTGGGATTTCTTTCTTTACTTTTGAAACTAATTTGGGTCATGCTATATCTGCAAGTTCCATCAGGAAGAGTATGCTACATTTTGTCAAAAAGAATATGGCATTTAATACTCCAAGGAAGATCGCAAAATTATTAGATATATAGTATATATCCTTAAAGAATAAAACAAAATTGTCAAAGAGATAAATTAATTTATAATAGAAAAAAAATTAACGAATTAAAAATAACCCGTAATGTAATAGACATCTTTCAAGAAATTTTGTTTGTTAATTTAAAGATATCTACCACATCGTGTATCTCTTCTTCATTTAAAGAGTACATAATAAAAATAATTGACATCTTTAAAAGAACACTTATAGTAGAGATATCGCGTCTATTTAGGTGTACATTATATGTAGTTTTTTGTTTATAAGATATCTCAAATTAATCGAGATATCTCCTAAAATATATTAGATATCTTTATAAGGTATTCAACAAGAGTTTCCGACGAATTGTGACAACACAAGCTCCAACAACAATAATTCAAGTCCTCTTACACAGATTCCGTAAGTTCAATTGAAGAAATAAAATTGTACTGGCCATTTTAATTATGAACGTTCTGTTCGGACACCTGGACATGTACGTCATCATGAGTACTGTACAATAGACGGAGGCTGTAGACTCTGTAGGTGTCCGAGCGAATTAAACGCCTGCTGTTCGGACAGGTGTGACGATGTCAGATTGCCCAGTCCCGTAGACCCCTGACAAACGTACCACTCACTGAGATTAGGCGGATGGGAATGAGGCAAACAAGAAGTGATGCTAGGTGTCAAACCAGAAGTAGATAATGACGATGGTGTTGTGAATTGACCCCGACTTCCGGGGGAAGTTGAATTTTGTGATGACACACTAGTCTTCGATAATGGTGAACTATCCTGAATATCAATACCACACTTTTCATCATCAGAATATTTTTCCACGAATTCCGAACAATTTTCGTGAACTTTCATATGTTTTCTAAGTGAACTTGGATGAGTATAACTTTTTTCACATCCTTTTATCCGGCAGTTGTACGGCTTATCACTCGTGTGCACGTGACTGTGCTTCTTCCGGTCGGAACTGTTCGCAAATCTCCGGTCACATCCTTCGAATTCACACTTAAACGGCTTTTCCCCTGGAAGAGACAAAAACATATATATAAAACGTGTTAAAATATATTTAAAAAGACTTCAATAATACTGTGTATTAAACTGGACCGCGAAAGGAGACTACATGATATAAAAAATGACAGAACCGCGAATCTTATACAGCAAAATATGGTTTGCCAGTGGCGGATCCAGAGGGGTTTTTTGGGCTTCAGGAAAAAACCCCACCCTGAGAATTTTCTTTAAAAATCATGTATTTTCACCATTTTCCTCAATTTTTCCCTACATGGAAACCCCCCCAGGAAATTTGGAAACCCCCCCCAGATAGGTCTCTGGATCCGCCACTGGGTTTGCAAATCGCACAAATAAGGCGACGGGAAATCAAAGGATCGTTTATCTTAATACGGTATCTTTTGGAAAAACTCACTTAATGTGAATAAAAAGTAAATATAGTTAATGAATCGGACATTGCGAAATAAAACCTTTTGATTGATTGCATCAAAAATCATTCAAATTCAATATATATTATTTCTGTTCAAAATAGAAATTGAATAAAATCACATATTTGTGGCTGATAAACATTGTTTTGTTTAAAAAATGAAATATTTATTAATGGTTTATTCTAATTGCAATATTATTCTCGTGAACAAATTGTTTGTATTTATCACATAAACATTGTGCTACCTTACTTATTACTTATTAACGATTCATGACTTAGTTATTTTTTAGCATATAGTTTTACCTCGCATTAAACACACACTCCCATTTGATTGATTAAAATTATAATTATTTATAGAGAAACTGCCCGAATCAATTATGGCGGAGATCTCTATTCATGACTGCTTCGTAATCGATCATATTTTTCGCAGACGTATCTAATCATGGACCCGGATGGCGGTAATAACTGTCACGCGAAATCCGGATCACAGGTAATTCATAATATATGTATGCAGGTAGTAATTATAGATAACAGACGGATCGTACGTCCTGTAAAAGAAAATTAAATAATCTAATATATTAGACTGAATAATATATAAACGATTAGATTGTCATGATTAATCAAATTGTATAGGTGTCGATTTTCGGATTAATCCCAATAGTCATGCATTCACGCCATTATAATTCAACAGTCTCGATATCGAGTTTTGATCAGACAATTCACATTTTACGGACTTGTATAATCATGGGATTACCTTTTGATCTGAAAGTGTGATAATGGAATGAACAGAAGTATAGACATTCTTTTTTTTTTTGCGATAAAAGAAATTCCGACATCGGGTTAGTCCGGACTATTTAGTTTCCAAAGCATGCCTGAAAAGTATCTACCAAAATTTGAATTATGCGTTTAGTCGTCAACAATAAAAAAAGATGGTGAAACAGCACGTTTTTTCATAACTTGATAAGCTGAACCATTCTCCTGTTCAATTCCGTTTAAACTAAATTGGGAAAACAATCAATAGGTATTGTACAGTTGAACCGCGTTAATCCTAAAAGTCCAGTCCCCAAACAAAATACACGGATAACCGAACAATTGGATAAATGAAAACACGACAATGTATCTTTGATGTCCCAAACAAATATCTGGTGGTAAAATCTTGACTTTCAGTTCACCTGTGTTCTACACAATAATGTATAATGTAGATCACTGAAAATTTTATCAGACAATTTCACAAATCATCAGCAGTGAAATTTCACTGAAAAAAATGTCATTACGCTCAATATACAAACGATTCTTAATGACTTATCACGGCTGTTCGGCTAGCGCTTACTTATCCAAATTGATTTCGGGATGGTGATGTCTAATTATCATCATTGTTTATCATCGACGTCATCAATGATACCGTCAGAGTCTTACGAATAGCGACGTGTTCTCGTCTTCACTACTTACACTCGCGAGAATGTGCGAGAGTCCTTGAAGCTAATCGAACAATTAATTTGTTTGCAGAAGCTGACGGTGTCTTATTGGGGGTCCAAAAGGGGAATCTCGAATAACTATAAACAAGATATGTCATTTAATCACTATTTAACGATATTTTTTCGCAATTTATTAAAATCGTAAAAAGAATCGATTCGTGCAGTGACATGCTGTTGTTCTGTGTTACGATTAAGAAATTATCTGTCCGTGTACATCCCTATTAGACCCCAATCACCACAACAAACCATGCAGATTTGTGAGCACTAAGTGGCCCGAAGTGGTGAAACAATCGACTGCTTGGCATGTAAGCCAGTCATTTAGACCCTCAACAAGATTACATTTTCCCATCGAGTGTCACTCGTCGCCTCGGTTGATCTATTTCAGCATCACCCATAGACTCACAGCATTGTTAGTTTGGAAGGACTTTCCAAACTGGTGATATGCTGTTGTGTATACAAAACAATCCTTTATCTTGTCGTCAGGACCACATACATGTATGTACAGAAGCAACGCTCCTTAAACTTACTCTTCAGTCTGAACTAATTCATAAAACGTATGCCGGTCAACTTATCCGGAAGAAGATTACAACTAATAAAATGCCCCCCCCCCCCTTAAATATATACAACTGTATGTAGTGTAATTCAAAATCACAAAGTTACTCGTGATGTTGTCGTATCCCTAATGTAAGCTAGAAAGAAAAATGTTCGAGCAATTAATTACCTGTGTATAGCCGTTTTAATGAGATTTATTGCATTTGAACAATAAAACAATTAAGTTAAATACTAAATATAAAACAAGTGATAGTATTTAAATGTGTAAGAAAAATGTTGGTAAGGGTCGATTTAGAACGATTTCGCCCCTAAGATCTCTGCGGAAACGCGATATTTTCACAAACATTGTCAAATATGAACAGTTGTTATGGACTAAGTTTAAGGTACCGGCGACGACGAAGTTGAGCCCACGTCTACTTATCGACAGGGGATCAGAGGTTGTAAAGTCTTAGCTTCAAGTTACAGACGAACAGATTTACTGTAAAAGGGTGACTCCGCTCTGGCCATATTTGACCAATAAAATGTTTCCGAACAGACGAGACAGAGTATATAACAGATCATTTGACAAATGACTAAAGAGACCTTACTTTTATGGCCAACCTTTCGTTGTGTGTTATTGGCGTGATTTGAAGCTTATATAGAATATTCAATCTTGACCTACCGTTCTAGCAAACCAATGTTGATACACAATAACGTGTCTCATTAGACTTACAATGTTAATTAGTTTAATTTTGACATCATGATGGGACAATTGCGTAGTATGGATATCTTTCGCTAAAATGACAGTTAAATTGTAACTTTTTCAGGTAAATTAGTATCCTTGTTATTTTTATATGTTTATATATTATATGAAAATGTTTGGTTTGATTTTGTTTGACGTACTATTGACAGCTGAGGTAATTTAAGGACGTGCCTCCATGTGTGTTGTGTAAGCGTGTATGTGTACCGGAGACAGTATATGTTGGTGTTCTTGCCTCCTTGTGATAGCGCGGATTTGATGCCGAATTTATAGTGCTATCTCACTTAAATACCATGCCGAAGGCACCAGGCACAGAATTCAGCCCGGTCACATTATACTGACAATGGGTGAACCAGTTGCCATTACCCCAAATGCTGAACGTTAAGCAGGAAATAACAACTACCATTTTAAGGACTTTGGTATGTCCTGGCCAAGGGACAGAACCCATTGCCTTCCTCACCTGGGCGAATGTTCAACGTTAAAGCCAAAAGTGAGGTTTTTCCAAACAAGTCGGTATGAAATATAATGAAGTAAGAAGTAGAGAGAAACAACTATTGCAATTGGTGCAGCAGATTTATTTTGATCCCGTTTGTGTCCCCAAGAAAGCAAATCCAGGGGGTTCCAACATTACTCGCCTCTTACGATACAAGCTGTGGGTAACAGCAGGTATATTCTTATCTCAATCCCCGACCTGCAGGGTTGGTAACAAGATGGCTCTTTTGTGTACATAACTATGATTGCAGACGTAAATAACTATCGTTGATTGGGTGGCGCAGTGGATAGCGTACTCGCCTTTCACCATGACCACAGCCGGAGTTCGATTCTCCGTTTGGACGTGAAAACGTATGTGTCACCTGCCCGATCACGCGGGGTTTTCTCTGGTTTGCTTCGGTTGTTTCAACATTAAGACCTTTTGCTTGTGATTGATATTTATAAGTTGATAAAACTTGTTTCAAAATTGTTATAAGACATTTCTTTTCTATTTGAATATCTCGCCAAAGACCGGTGTCATACAAACACACGAATTGACGCCTAAATATGACGACGTAGATTATTTTAGTTTATTTTTCAACCCTAAGATTCAAACAGCTCTTAAGATGCTTTAGAAAGTATACAATAATAATAAACTGGAATTCTAGCCTATTCGATGACGTGTTTTTTTCTTATTTTATCTTCTTAAACCTCAATTTGATATAAAATTTCCAACAAGTATAAACACAATTGTTTAATCTCCACGATACTGATTAACGCAACACTATAAAAGGACAATGACAAAAACAACTTCACGAGAAGTCCAGATGATTGGTTTTGGAACCAGGATAACGCTCATACACATAAAATCTAGACAAAATATTTAATAAACGCAAATTTTAAAATTATGAAAAGCTACATGCATATGAGTGATGAATGCATTACTGCATAGCTAAGTCTATACATTAACATAGGCGGATGTGGAGAGGGCTAATTTGTGTCTCGGCATGTAATTATCATTGATAAGGCTGTATTAATGTTTAGACAGACTGCCTGCCATTACTTATCTCAATGTCTCGTCCGTCGGAGTGAACGATGCTATCTCTCTATCACTGCTCATCCGATATAGGACCAGTACTGCCTGACCGATAGGGGAGGGGTGGCAGGGAGGGGGATTATTGTAATTTAGGGGGGTAATGAGGGCAGTGCAGTCTGAAGGGCCGAGGACAGGATAAGCGATAATGGGGATGTATGGTATTCAAATGGACGTGTAAAGGACGAGGCACTCCGAAAGCATGAGTTTGTGCAAGGGATCCGATGGGAAAAGGGTTGGGTGAGGGATGGGGTGGGGGT